CAAATCAAACAATAGAATATAACTAAAAAAAGCAAGTAACTAAAACAGAAAAGGAAATGAGAAAAAAATTAGAACTATGATCAGCAGCCATTTGCTAATTGAGCACTTCTCCAATATTAAAAGCAAATAGGCTTTCAGATTTTTCTGGAGGACATCACATCTTTATAGTCATGTAATTGACTGAAAGGCAGGGAGAATACAAGATGCCAATTAGGCAACAAACATTTATTAAGTACCTATTATGTGCTAGACACTGTACTTACCACTGGAGACACAAAAAAGGGAAAAAGCAAAATGAAACAAATATCCCAATCTCTACTTGCAAGGAATAATAAGAGCTATCATTTATATAGCACCTACTATGTGTCAGGCCCTGTGCCAAGTGCTCTATAATTATTATCTCATTTGATCCTCACAACAACCCTGGGAGGCAGGTGCTATTATTGTCCTCATTTTACAGATGAGGAAACCGAGGTAAGGTTAAATGACTTGCCCAAGGTCACACAGCTAGAAAATATCTCAGTCCACATTTGAATTCAGGTCTTCCTGACTCCAGGCCCAGTGCTCTATCTAATATACCACCTAGTTATCTCACAGTCTAACGGGAGAAACAAGTAAACAACTGTGTACAAACAAGATAAATTGGAGATAATCACAGAGAAAAGACACTGGCATTAAGTGGGATTGGAAAGGTTTCTCATAGAAGGTGGATTTTAGCTAGGACTCGAATCTAGAAAGGACTTATTATTGCTGGTTAATTATAAAACAGCCTTGATTTAGTAGAGAAAAGCACAAACTTCAAGGCTTCCCTTGACAAGGATCCTTTCATGCATAGGTGTTTGGGTCATACAATATTCCTTGATAAATGGTTTTGGTGGGAAGACAAGTTTCCCTTGAGGAACTTCAAGAGCTCTATTTCCCGTAAGCCTCTGTGGTAATTTCACACACTAATGGCAGGCTTCCCCTCCTCCACTGCCCCTAGCTAATACAGTCTTTCAAACCAGGAGACTTGTGAAAAGGGTGGCGGTTTGGAAAAGAATGCTGAGGGAAGTTAGGAACTAGATGGCAAGGAAGAAATGATTATAGCTGCTATATGTAGTTCATGCTGGGTCTCCCACAGCATTGACAGCAGCCCCCGTGGGATCTGAGGCAGCAGGATGCAGGGTTCGGTTTTTCCCTTGGCTCCTCAGCAAAATGTCTGTATATCTGAAATGTGCTCCCACTGTAATGAGAAGTGTCAACATTCTCTCTAATTGCGGTGCCAAGAAAACTATACACTGAAGATTTGCTACTATGGAAACCTTGTAAAAGAAAATAACACAGGTCACCCACACAAGTTCCATCGAATCTCCTGTGATTGATTGACCTTCTACTACCTCTTCTGCTGTGGAGAGAGACAGAAGGGTTGGAGGGAGAAAGAAGGGTTATTTGAAGAGAGGTGAAAACTGCTCCTAAGCTACCCGGATGTTTTTTATATTGTATGAAGATGCAAGGGGGAGTGGAGAAAGATAAATACCTAACCTGGAGGTTAAGAGGGTGGGTGCATTCCCGGCATGATGTTAAGAGTGTTTCCTTTTACTGCATTTTTCTGATTTTTACCCCGTTTCTCTTTTAAGTAAATTGCCCTTTCCCACCACTACAGTGTAATATTATGAGATTAGCATAGCAGATGTTCAAGGAGAGGAAATTCAGGAGAGAAAAACAATAAGGGGGGGGGCTCAGAACATTAATTTGAATTTGAATATATATGAACACAAATCAGGTTATCCAAAAGTAGTGGAAGGGATGTTTTATAAGTACAACTGAAAAGATAACTTTATTTAACTATTCTCTGATTATTAATGGCATGCAAGCTATAAGTCAGATATGCCTTGCTTGACATTAGATGTATGTTAGGGAGATAGATTAGGGAGCATATTAAAGGAGATGGATATATGTTCACCAAAGGTCTTTGACACTGTCATGGAGGGTGATCTATAGAGAGTTTAAATGGAAGAGGGTGTCTTTATAAATGATGAGATCCTCTGCTACACGCTACTGTTTATGCATAAATTTATGCTGATTGCTCTGAGATCCAACATGTTATCCAAAATTGCTCAAAAGAGATTGGCTTAAAAATCTATACTTAATGGATAGAAAATGCCTTTCTGATAACCAGTTTATTGAGTTAGTAATCAGTACATAACATCAGAGAGATGTAATATTGGGAAAGAAATTGGACCAATTATGTAGTGAGAATGAGGGGGAACAAACAGATGGACTGCAGGGGTGCGAAAGTGACACCTATGAAATGTAAAAGGCCTAGAGTAGGAGTTCTTAAGCCAGTGTCTGTGAATTAAAAAAAGATCTTTTATAACAATATTTCAAAATAATGGCTTTCCTTTGTTTTTTCTATGTATTTTATTTCATTTTCTATGCGTTCCTATGTATTTTCCTATGTACTGAATGTTTCCCACGTATTTCATTTTGTGCTTTTAAACATACCATTCTAAAAAGGGTGCCCTAGCCTTCCCTCAGCTATCCCAGGGGCCCATAATACAAATATGGTTCAGAATCCCTGAACTAAAAGAAGGCCTCAAGAACAGTGGCTAGATTCTCTGTGAAGGATCTATGGGAGAACATAGGTATGAATTGCATTTGATAAGAAAATGAGGATGAGTTTTGGTCTGCATCACTATAGAGAACACCCTCATTGACAGAACAAATACATTTAAATATGTGGATATATAGCTCTTGAAATTTTATTTAACCTATTACAAATTGATTTGGATAAAGGGATATATGCCATCCTTATCAAATTTATAGATGACAAGAAGCTAGAAGGAAAGTTGGATGGCCAAATTGCTATCCCAAAAGATCTAGGAGAGGTAAGATAGTGCACTGAATTTAATAGCACATTGTATATGTGTAATAAAACCTTATTGATTAACTGATTGATTGATAATAAAATAAAATTTGTCAGGGATAAAAATAAAGCCCTACGCTTGGATACTTCTCCTTCTCCCTATCAACACAAGTCCAGTATAGGGGAATTATGACTTGACAACTGTGTGTGTGTGTGTGTATGTGTGTGTGTGTGTGTGTGTGTGTGTATTTCTAAAGACTTTTCACTTTTAGTAGACTGCAAGCCCAATGTATCAATAATAAAAAAGAAATACTAATTTGATCTTTGCCTGTATAGAAGCACAATGCAATATTCAGGACGAATACAATATACTCTTCCCAGGTTAGACCCTCATACACAGTATTGTGTTTAGTTCTGTTTGATACATTTTAGGCAGGACAATGACATGCTAGAGCAGTACAGAGGATGGTGGACGTGATGGTGATATGATTAGAGAACCCACCATATAACAGTACTGTATTTGGTTGTTTTTTTTTTTTTTTTTTTTTTGCCTTTTGGTGAGGCAATTGGGGTTACACAAGGTCACACAGCTAGTAAGTGTCATGTGTCTGAGGTCACATTTGAACTCAGGTCCTCCTGATTCCAAGGCCAGAGCTTTATCCACTGCGACACCTAGCTGCCCCTACAATACTATATTTGGAATCAGAGGACCTGGATCTGAATTCTGACTCTATCATTTAATTCCATCTGTAATGATGGCATGTCACTGATCCTTTCTGGTCTCAGTTTTCTCATCTGCAAAATGAATAGGTTGTACTAGATGACCTCTAAGTTCTCTTTCAGTTCTAAATCTACAATTTGGTCATTTTTATTCTGGAGAAGAGAAGAGTGCGTGGTAAGGTTGGGGGCAAGGGTAGGAAAAGGGAAGGAGGAGAGAGGAGGGAATAAAATAATTATCTTCAAGAATTGCTCTTGAGATCAGAACCCATAAACTGGGAGAGGCTGAACAATATGACAGAAAGGACAATGGCTGTGGAATCAGAGGTTCTAGGTTTAAATTCTGCTGCCCTTAATACATGTGTGACTTTAGGTGAATCACTTAACCTTTCAGTCTCAGTTTTCTACATGTGTTAAGTGAATGGGCTGGACTAGAAGTTCTCAGAGAAACCTCAGCTGCAGCTCTGAATTGATCCTATTAACTTTATGTGTAACACAATACTCTGCACATAGTAATTCAATTAAAAAAAAAAACCCAAACATTTATTAAGCACCTACCATATGCCAGACCCTGTGTTAAGTGCTGGAGATACAAATGAGAAAAAGTTTCATCTCTCAAGGAGCTTACAATCTAATGGCAGAGGGCACACAAAAGGAAGCTGGAAAGGGGGGAGGGGAAACAGGGCAGGGGTGGGGGAGTCGGGGGGGGGGGTGTATCATGTTCTTAGCAGTTCAAACCAAGCCGAGCTCGGATGGAAAGTGGAGGGTTGGCTGGACAGTCCAGATCTAGCGCTGTTTAAGGAAAGCTCTGGGAGGAGTTGAGTGCTCTGCCCTGCAGAGGAGGCTGGAGTTGGGAAAGGGTTGAGTATCCAGCAGGTATTTAATAACTAGTTGTCCAAAGGCTGGAAATGAGAAGAGGACAGGGGGCTTTAAAAACCATCTAGTTTAATTCCCTCATTTTACAAAGAAAACTGAACCTCAGAGGTGAAGGGGACTTGTCCAGGGTTATACAGTTGGTCGTGGGTTTGGACGCCTTTGGCAGTCTGGTGAAGCCTGTGAACCCCTTCTCAGAATAATGTTTTTAAATGCATAAAATACATAAACTAGCAAATGAAAACAATGATATCGGAATATGGTTATCAACATATTTAAATTATATACTCATTGACTTCAGGTTCCTCTTAGGTGGGATTCAGGACCTTCGTCTTTATAACCAGGCAGACCAGGCACTGCTCAGACAAACCTGTAGGAAAGCGGACTCCGAAGAGAGTTTTGTGGCTTTTCCTCTCCCCGCCCTCATTACAAAGTTGGCGGGGCTTCCACGGGCTCTCTCATTGGCTCAGCCGGCGACTTCGCCCCGCCCCCTAAGGCCGGGCAGCCAATGAAGGCGCGGGCTCCGGTTTAAACGCAGGCCAGGGAAACCAAGCTCGGCTCCGCTGCTCATTAACGGCTGCGGTAAGTGTGGGCAGAAGCCGGGTCCGCGCTGCATTTCGGGCCCGCGGGGCGGGCAGGACCACACGTGGGTAACGCTGCCTGGGGTTGGAGGGGAGGCTGGACCTCGAGCCGGGTTTGGGGGTAGGGGACCCGGGCGCAGACCGGGGCTTGCCCCGAAACAGGGCCGGCAGAGGGAAGCTGGTTGGTGGGAAACGGGGAAACGGCCGCGCCGCCAACCGTGCCCGCCCCGGTGGCTGCGGAGGCAGCGTGAGGGATGGGAGCGAGCCGAGTCTCCGGGAGAGTCCGGGAGCGCCCGGGGCTCCCCGGGCTCCCCGGGCTCCCCGAGGCTCCCGGAGAGAGCGGCGGCTGCGCTGGAGCGCCCCCCTGTGGGCGGAGAGGGGCAGTGCGCGCCTGGGGCAGCCTCTCACCACCCCTGGCAGGCGGCCCATTTATTAATTAGCCTACTGTGTGCTAGAGACTGTGCTAGGTTCTGAGCTTACGAAAACCAAAAAGCAAAATCTTTCCTGCCTTGCAGGGAACTTACGTTCTCTCTTGGGAAGTGTAATGCACACATATAAGTAGATAAAACAAACAGTGTCTTAAAAGTCTTAGTGCAGTAAAGCTATTAAGGGTTAAAACTATACTTTTGGACTGTTGGAACCACCCTGTTTACTAAATAGAGGAGACTCCTAGGTGAAGGGAATCCGTCTACCAGTACAGGTTGGCATCTTCTCATCAACTAATTGTCTCATAGACTGTTCTTCCTAGAAAGTTACAAGGGTGGGTGCTAGAGACAGGACTTGAAGCTCTGGGCTTCCTGGTGTCAAGGACCTAGCTGTATATAAACTATACCCATGCTGCCTCTCAGATTAAGGTGGGGGGGGGAGGGAAGGGGAAGGGAAGGGCTCTGGGATCAGCTAGAGGCAGCCGGGTGCCCAGAGCCAGACCTGGAGTCAGGAAGAGCCGAGATCAAAACTGGCCTCGGACACTACCTATGTGACCCTGGGCAGGCACTTAACTTCACAGTACCTCATTTTCCTCATCTGTAAAATGGGGTTAATAGTCCCTATCTCTCAGGGTTGTTGGGGGGAATCAAATGAGATGCCATATTTTAAAAGCTTTGCAAACCTTAAAAGTGCTGTAAATGCTAGCTGCTGTTATTATGATGATGATTTGGAAAGGCCTCATGTAGGATGGAGTACTGTAGCTGAGCTTTAAAGGAGGCCAGGGAGTTTAGCAGGTAGGGGTGAGGAAGGAGGGATGAATTCCAGTCGTTTGGGATAGCCTATACAAAGACACAGAGAGAGAAAAGGGAACTGTAGTGTGTGAGGTAGAGCAAGAAGACCATTTGGCCGGACCCTAGTATCCATTATGTATGGAAAGTAATATATGAATCTGAAAAAAGGTAGGCTGGAATGTGATTGTGAAGGGCTTAAATGCCAAACAGAAAAGTTTATATTTGATCCTAGAGAAAGTATCTTTAGAGTTCGTGGGATCAGGGATTTAGAGCTGGAAGGGACCTTGGAGGCCCTCTGGTCCAGCCCTGTGGCTCTTAGGGGAGGAAACTGAAGTGATTTGCCTAAGGTCACACAGGTAGGGACAGAGCTGGGATTTGAACCTAGGTTTTCTGATTCTAATTCCAGTGCTTATTCTCAGGGATCCAGATTGAACCTCCGATTTCATTAGTATAGGGAACTCCTGGGCAGGGAAAGTCCTTTTACCAATGCAAGCCAGCACTTTCTCTGCAACTTGTGGTCTTAGAGTTGCCTAGAGCCCTGAGAATTTAAGTGAGTTTTCTAGGGTTACATAGCCAGTATGTTTCACAGGCAGGACTTGAACTTGGGTTTTCCTGGTTTAGAGGAAAAACCTCTTTATCCACTATACTAAGATCCACTTGAAGGTATTCTCTTTTTCCGTTAAGAAACTATAGGGATAGACAGTGGCCCTTTAGCATAAGAATCTAGCATTATAATAACCACATATCCTTACTCTGTGCTCTGGGGAGGTTCTTTAATGACCCAGGGGGTGAGGGGGGGGTCATTGGTGTTGTTGGTGATCCTGGGTATGAGGCATTAGAGGGAAGAAGGGAAGTCAGATAGAGAGAAGAGACCCAGGGCCTTCCTCTTGAAGTAGTTCAGTGCTAGAAGGATCAAAGACTCTATTTTTCACATGAGGAAATTGAGGCTCCTTATAGGGAAGAAGCAACTTCGTAGGGATTTAGATCCTACTAAGGATCTAAAGGGTTTTAGATCTTGAAAAGCCCTTAGTTCTACCTCCCTAGTTTTAGAGACGCTAAAGCCCCAGAGGGTGACATGACTGCTCAGGAGGTCGCACTACTGGTAAATAATAGGCATTGCTTCCAGTCCTCCCTCTACAGTCTAATTCAAATTTACTTTTCCAAACTGGTTTCACATCACCCCCCTTCATATGATCCCTGTTCTATCCCAACTGGTCTACTATACTTGCTGTTACTCAAATTTGACTTTTCATCTCAGTTTCTATGCTCAGGGTGTCCCAGAATGCATTCACGCTATGTCTCTGTCTCTTAGAGTTCATGTCTGTCAAGGGCTTTGTAAAACTTAAAGCTCTGTAGATTATCCTTCACCTCTTCCCACTCCAGAGGCTCAGCTTAAATGCCTCCTAGTCCCATAGGATCCTCTTTAGCCTCCCAGTCAGTACAGTTTTGTCCTTTGTTAAGTTACTTATGGTTCACTCATCAGGGTATGTTGTGTGTCATTCAGCAGAACGCAAGCTCCTTGAGAGTGTGCACTATTTCATATGTCTGTGCACTTACCAGATGCTTGTTGGAAGGTGCCAATTAGTCCTGTCTTTGGAATCTGGCATTGGACATGTCATGACTTCAACTCTCTGGTCCTCAGTTTCTTCATCTTAAAGTGAAGGGGTTTGGATTATATAACTTGAGGAATATTTCTGCTCATTTTGAATTCAGCTCTTTTACTTGCTGACCTTACTGTAATGTTTTTAGACACACTCCAGTCAAAAATGTTTAAGAGCCTCCTGTGTACAAGGTTGTAAAATGTGTACCATGGGAACAAAAAATGACGCTTTAGCCTTTACATACAGGCTTACGTGGTTCTAGAACAGCTTTCTAGGATGATACCCTAGCTCAATAACTATCAAGTTTATTGACCCATGTACTTGCTAAATGTTGGCGTGTGTCTCTGGAACTGCTGCTTTATATTTGTTTTCTATTTTTTTTTAAATAATTTGTTTTGATTTATCAACAATCATTTCCATACGCTTTTGAGTTTTAAATTTTTCTCCCCCTCCCTTTCCCCCTCCTTCCCCAAGACAGCACACAATCTAATATAGGCTATACATATACATTCCTATTTTTAAAAAAATTTATTTGTTTTTAGTTTTCAACATTTACTTCCACAAAATTTTGAGTTCCACGTTTTCACCCCATCTCACCCCTCCCCCCACCCCAAGATAGCATGCATTCTGAATATCCCTTCCCCTAGTCTGCCCTCCCTTCTATCTCTACCCCCTTCTCTTATCCCCTTCTCCTTCTACTTTCCTATGGGGCAGGATAGATTTCTGTACCCCATTTCCTGTATTTCTTATTTCCCAGTTGCATGTGAAAACATCTTTTTAAACATGTGTTTTTAAAACTTTGAGTTCCAAATTTTCTTTCTTCCTCCCTCCCCACCCACCCTCATTGAAAAGGCAAACAACTCAATATAGGTTGTACATGTGAGTTATGTAAAACATTTCTATAGTAATCATGTTGTGAAAAACTAACTCTTATTTCCCTTAATCCTATCCCGCCCCCCCATTTATTCTATTCTTTCCTTTGACCCTCCCTGTCCTTCCTCAGAAGTGTTTGCTTCTGACTACCCCCTTTCCCAATCTGCCCTCCTATCATTCCCCTGCTCTATTGTCCCCTTCTCTCCCTATTTTCCTGTAGGGTAAGACAGATTTCCATACCCAATTGAGTGTCTATGTTATTCCCTCCTTAAGTCATATCCTATGAGAATAAGATTCACTCATTCCCTCTCACCTTCCCCTGTTTCCCCTCCACTGTAAGAGCCTTTTCCTTTTGTTTTTTTTGTGAGATAATTTACCTCTCCCTTTCTCCTCCCAGTATAATCCTCTCTCACCTCTTAATTTTATTCTCCAGATATGACCCCTTCATCTTCACCTCACCCTGTGCCATCTATCTATCTATCTATCTCCTATCCCTTTATCTTTCTATATATATACACACATGTAATTTTTTCCCTTCAACTACCCTAATACTGACAAAGGTCTCATGAGTTATAAATAACATTTTTCTGTGCAGGAATGTAAACAGTTCAACCTTAATAAGTCTCTTATGATTTTTCTTTCCTGTTTACCTCTTCATGTTCCACTTGAGTCTTGTATTGGAAAGTCAAATTTTCTATTCAGCTCTGGTCTTTTCCTCAAGAATGCTTGAAAGTCCTCTATTTCACTGAATGACCATTTTTTCCCCTGAAGGATTATACTCAGTTTTTCTGGGTAGGTGATTCTTGATTGTAATCCTATCTCCTTTGCCCTCCGGAATATTATATTCCATGCCCTCCAGTCCCTTAATGTAGAAGCTGCTAAATCTTGTGTTATCCTGATTGTGTTTTCACAATACTTGAATTGTTTCTTTCTGGCTGCTTGTAATATTTTCTCCTTGACCTGGGACCTCTGGAATTTGGCTACAGTATTCCTAGGAGTTTTCCTTTGGGGATCTCTTTCGGGAAGAGATCGGTAGATTCCTTCAATTTTTATTTTGCCCTCTGGTTCTAATATATCAGGGCAGTTTTCCTTGGTAATTTCTTGAAAGATGATGTCTAGGCTCTTTTTTTTGATCATGGCTTTCAGATAGTCCGATAATTTTTAAATTCTCTCTCCTGGATCTATTTTCCAGGTCAGCTGTTTTTCCAATGAGATATTTCACATTGTTTTCTAATTTTTCATTCTTTTGGATTTGTTTTACAGTGTCTTGATTTCTCAGAGTTACTAGCTTCCAATTGCTCTATTCTAATTTTTAAGGAAGTATTTTCTTCAGTAAACTTTTGGACTTCCTTTTCCATTTGTCTAATTTTGCTTTTTAGAGCATTCTTCTCCTCATTGGCTTTTTGGACCTCTTTTGCCATTTGGGTTAGACTATTTTTTAAGGTGTTATTTTCTTCAGTATTTTTTTGGGTCTCCTTTAGCAAGCTGTTGACTTGTTTTTCATGATTTTCTTGCATCACTCATTTCTCTTTCCAGTTTTTCCTCTACTTCTCTTATTTGCTTCTCAAAATCCTTTTTGAGCTCTTCCAAGGCCTGGGACTGATTCATATTTTTCTTGAAGGTTTTGGGTGTAGGAGCTTTGACTTTGTTGTCTTCTGGTTGTATGTTTTGATTTTCTTTGTTACCAAAAAAAGATTCTATGGTCTGACACTTCTTGCGAGGTTTGCTCTTGATTCCATCCAATTACTTGAGTTATAATAAACTCTTTGTTAAGGTAGAGGTCTACTTCCAATGTGGAGAATGGACTGTCCCAAGCTTCGGGGGTTTGTACAGATGTTTTCAGAGATACTTCTAGGCACCTGTAAATTTTCAGTTCTTCCAAAGTGGTATGATAAGGGGTGAGGTGTTTACTCCTTTCCTGGCCTGTGCTCTGGTCTATGAGTGATCACAAGCACTCTTCTCTGTCTTGGAACTATGAGGAGTATTCTCTCTCCACCACCACTACAAGCTCCACCACACCAGCACTCCTCCTCGTCCCAGGACCACCCCTCAGAACTGTGGCCCAGATCTAAGCACAGGCAAAGCAAAGAGATTCCTGCCTCAACACTGGCAGAGAGATCCCTGCAATCCCCCTCTGATCAGCCACTCGATCCCCTCCGAGTCTGTGGGCCGGAAGCTCAGGAGGCAGCCGCCACCCTGGGTCACGCTCGGGACTTGCGCCTGAGATCTGGTTTCTCTCTCACCGCAGAAACAGACTTTTCCCACTGATCTTCTAAGTTGTCTTTGGCTTTCGTGGGTTGAGAGGTCTGGAAACTGCGATTTGGCATTCTGAGGCCTGCTCCAGGTTCGCTGCGGCCCATGCCGAATTGCACTCCTCTCCCTGCCCGGCGCGATATACCTTTCTGATCAACCATCCAGGTTATCTTGGGCTAGAAATTTGTCTCACTCTGTCTTTTTGTGGATTCTGCTGCTTTAGAATTTGTTTAGAGCCATTTTTTATAAGTATTTGGAGGGGTTTGGGGGAGAGCTCAAGCAAGTCACTGCTTTCACTCCGCCATCTTGGCTCTGCCCCTACATTCCTATTAAACATATTTTCACATTAGTGATGTTGTAAGGAAGAATTAGAACTAATAGGAGGAACCACCAGAAAGATGAAACAAAACAAAACAGAAGAAAAAAATAGCAAATAGTGTGTTTCAATCTGCATTCAAACTCCATAGTTCTTTCTTTGGATGTGGATAGCATTTTCCATCATGAGACCTTTGGAGATGTCTTAGATCCTTGCATTGCTGAGAAGGGCTACGTCTATCAATATTAGTCATCACACAATGTGGCTGTTACTGTGTATAGTGTTCTGGTTCTGTTCACTTTACTCAGCATCAGTCGGTACAATTCTTTTCAGGTTTTTCTGAAGTCAACCTGCTCATCATTTATTATAGCACAGTAGTATTCCATTACATTCATATACCACAACTTGTTCAACCATTCCCCAATTGATGGTGCTGTTTTATATTTGAATGTGTGGGAGCTTGGTGAGGGTGGTGGTCCTGTTACCTGAACTCTACTTTACAAGGACCACTGGCCTTTCCATCTGGCTTGTCCCACTCCTTATATGTGTTGTCTCTCCTTATTAGAATGTGAGCTCCCTGAGGACAGGCATTGGCTTCCTTTTTTTATTTGTATCCCTGTTACTTAGCGCAGTGCTATTCTTTTCATTCATTCAAGAGTCATAACTGTAGAACTGAGAGGGAGCCCAAAGATTATCTCTTCCAACCCCTGTATTCCATAGATAAGGAGAATGAGGCCCAGTGACTTCTTTTGTCCACTGTCTACTTTAACTAGCAATTAAAGTCAGGGTTTCAATCCATTTCCTATTAGGCTTGGTCCATTTTGCTTTTTCACTGCAGGGTTCTACCCTCTATGTATTTTTCCTCTACAGTAATCCAGAATGGCAACATTAATCTATGTTGATAAGGAGAATGGAGAATCAGGCTCTCATGTGGCACCTAAGGACAGGCTGAAGTGTAAGTCTACTTGATTCAGGGTTTCTGTGAATAAAGTTTTCACTGAAGAGCTTGGGCTTTGGAAATTATATAAGGTGTGTGTTCTATAAAAAATGTGTATGTATCCTGATGGTTTACTTAGCAAATTCTAGGGGATCTTCAGAGACACTAATTGAGACAATTAATAGCTTCAGCAAAATCAGAGGCTACAAAAATAAACTCTCAAAAATCAACATTTCTATATAATAATGACAGAATCCAAGAGGTAATAATAAAAAGGGAAATCTCAAAGTGCATAAAATACCTGGGAAACACCAAATCATATAAAATACTTGTATAGATTCAGTTACAAAATACTTGTTAAAAAAATAAAAAATATTTTAAATAGCTGGAGAAACATTCACTGCTCATGGCTGGGCCGTGCCAATATAATAAAAATAATAATGTTACCATGATAAATTTATACTTTTAATGCTATGTCAATCAGATTATCAAAAGGATACTTTACAAAACTTAACAAAATAAAAACAAAATTCATTTGGAAAATAAAGTATCTAGAATATCAAGGAAAAAATGAAAAGAGGTAGGGAATGAAGAGGGAATGGTACTTCTGGATCTCAAATTATATCATAAAGTGGCAGTCATCAAAACGACAGTGGATATCTGATATTGGTAAAAAAAAACAAACCAGAAAGGTAATGTGTATGTATCCTATTCTTTGGTGTGGATTCTTTCTTGCTTCTTCTGTTCTATACAGTACCAGTAATAGACTCCCAGATTCCCCTGAGTGAGGATCTTCCCTAATTGGAATTTTTTTTTTGTAGGTAGCTAAATAGGGCCTAAAATTGTTTTTTTGAACAAGAACTTTGATAAGTTTAAATTACATTACATAACCCCACTGGTCATAACATGTATATACAGATACCTTGGGATCTATACCTTCTTATTGTAGTGATGTATTGTTCTAAGTAATATGTTTTTAGAAATATCTTTAAATGTGTCTCTTTATATTTAGCTCTTCCCTGAGGCCTATTATGTACACAATTTGGGGCATTCATTATAAAGTAATCATTGTGCCTGGATTAACCAAGCACCATTATGATAAGTCACTTATTGGGACAGCTTTATGAAGAGGAGGAAGTCTTTTGAGTTTTGGCATTCTGAAATAATCCCAAAGCAGTGCTGTCAGGAACACTGTTGCAGGGCAGTGGCAAGAGGGTTTCATGAATGGGGCAATAGCATGGCTTGGTGATGTGGTGCAGTTGATCTATGGAAGGCAGTTCTGATGACAATTTTTTTTTTCAGCAATCAAAGCCCTATCTGGAAGAGCTCAGATTTCCACTCCCAAGGCTGGCAAAGTGTTTACTGCAACTCCAGCTTTATCTAAATCTGTCAGAAAGGCTTTGGGACCTGTCAACAGGACAACAGAAAAGGAAAACTTGGTGGGGAAGAGAAAAGAACCCCTCAAACAGAAAGGGCAAAACTTCACTGCCAAAAAGGTGAGATAATGGACTTTTTGTATTTCAAGATGACATTCCTTTAGGCCTCTGTGAGAATTGAGAACTGAGGCTTTCATCAGCTCATCATATGATAGTCACATTCTATTTATGTTTTTTATTGCTTATTTTTTAGCTAACTGTTAATCCTTGGTGACTTTCTACAGCATACTTTTTTGAAAAAAATTTTTTTGATCTCTTTTGTTCTTATATCATCTATATCTTCCTCTGTATACCTCCATCAAGCTCCCTTAAGAGCTATCCCTTATTATGAAGAAAGAAGGGGAAAAAAGTTCAACAAATATAAACAACATTGAAAAAAAATCTACTGTTATATATGCAGTATTCCTTACTTCTCTAAAGAAGTAGGATGAGGTTCCTAATCATGTCTCTTTCTTTGGATCCAAACTTGGTCATGCTAATTTCTTTTTTTTTTTTTTAAGTGAGGCAATTGGGGTTAAGTGACTTGCCCAGAGTCACACAGATAGGAAGTATTATGTGTCTGAGGCTAGATTTGAACTCAGGTCCCTCTGACTCCAGGGTCGGTGCTCTATCCACTGCGCCACCTAGCTGCCCCTATGCTAATTTCTGAAATTTCAGTTTTAATTACTTTGTATTTCTTTCCATTTATATTGTTGTAGTCATTGTGTATATTGTTTTCTGGTTCTGTTTACTTTATTTTTCATCAATTCCTATGTCTTTTCATGCTTCTCTATATTCATGTTTTCTTATTTACAGTATAGTAATATTCCATTACTACAGTTTATTTAGCCATTCCCCCAATTGATAAGAATCTACCTACTTTCTCTATAGTCAGTCAATAAGCATATTTTAAGTGTTTATTACCTGTTGGGCACTGGGCATAAAAAAAGGCAAAAAAATTATCCTTATCCTCAAGGACTGTGTTGTATACAAGATAAATATAGTGTAAATGTGAAAAAATCTTGGAGAGAAGTCAAAGCAGAGACTGGGAAAGATATCTTACTGAGTGGAATTTGAGCCAAGTCTTGAAGGAAGCCAGGAGGCATAGATGAGGAGGGAGAGTATTTGAGGAATGGGGTATCAAATTGAGTAGGGGAGTTACATGGTCAGATCTGCGTTTTGGCAGTTGAGCGTAGGATGGACTAGAGTGGGGACTCGAAGCAGGAAGACCAGCCAGCAGGGTCTTTCGGTAGTCTAGGTGTGAGATGATGAGGGCCTGTGTCAGGTGACAGCTGTAAGTGGAGAGACAGGGATGTAGATGAGAGATGTAGTGAAGGTAGAAGTGACAGGAAGCCATGGCAACAGATTGGATATGTGGAGAGAATGTGAGAAAGAGTTGAGGATGAGGTGGCAGACTTGGTTTGACCAGCAGGATAGTGAGTGCCTTCGACAGTAATAGAGAAGTTGGGAAGAAGGGAGGGTTTGGGAGGAATGATGAAAAGCTTTGTTTTGGACATTTTCAGTTTGTCCATGGGACATTTTGTTTGAGATGTCTAGTAGGCTGTTGGTGGTGTGTGAGATTGGAGCTTAGGAGGGAGCTTAGGGCTGGATAAATAGATCTGAAAATCACCTGGAGAGAGAAGATAATTGAACCCATAGGAACTGAGGAGATCAAGTGAAATAGTGTAATAGTATGGAGGGAAAAGAGGGTCTAAGAATGCCCGTGATCAGTGGCAGTGACTTGAATGAAGATCAATAAAGGAGCCATTAGAAAGGTTGGAAAGAAGCTAGAGAAAGTAATGTCATAAAAACCTAGAGAATCAATCAAAAAGAAGAGGGTGAGTGACATTGTCAAAGACTATGGAAGAGGTCAGGAAGGATGATAAATGAGAAAAGCCTATTAGATTTGGCAATTAAGAGATCATGAATAACTTTGGAAAAAGTGTTTTCATTTGAATGAAGTCAGAAGATTTAGAAGAGAGTGAGGAGAGGAAATGGAGTCACAAATTGTAGATAGCTTTCTCAAGGAGTTGAGTGAGAGTGGGAATGATATAGGGGCCAACCTGCTGGAGAAGACAAGATGGAATGGAATCAAGAGTGTATGTGGAGGGGCTTTGCCTTGCCTTGGCAAGGAGAAAGGGCCACCTCTTCAGCTGGGATACGTGAAGATGGTGGGGGAAGATATCTGAGTGATGTGAAGTGAGATGGGGAGAAGAGGGAGCTCATGCTGAATGACCTTGATTTTTTTTCAGTGAAGTAAGAGACAAGGTCCTCAGCTTAGAGAGCAGGGAGAGGGGATGCCATGGGAGGATTGAGAAGGGAGGAAAGGTTTGGAAGAGACTCTATAGTGAGTGGAATAATGAGTCAATTAGGGAGGTATAAAAGTATAATCTTGCTGCCGTGAAGGCCCAGGTGAGATTATACATATGGGCACCTGGGGAATGTATGTTTGTAGTGGATCCAGCCAACATAGTTTTCTATAATTCCATTTGGCAGTATATGAATAAAAGTGAAGGTAGTGAATGGTGAGAGTCATCCAAGGTTGGGGCTTGTAAAGGCATAGTCAGCCATGGGATAAGGGGCTGAGAGATTCTGGTATAGAGTTGAACTGGTTCACCAAGGGAAGGAAGGAAGGGAGAGTGTAGCTAGTGAAGGGATGGTGGCCTAGGAAAGAGCTGAGGGGTAAAAGGATTAAAGATCACAGTGAGGATGAAGTTAGGATTAGGAGCCATAAAGCAGAGGGAAATGGAATGATGAAAGATTATAATCAGATAAAAGACTTAAGAGAGTTCATTTGAAATATTCTTAGCACCTTCCTCCCTTTCCTCCTTGAAATGTACTCAAAAATGCAAACTCATTTTAATATTAACCTAAGCAAAATAAAATTAGTATGATAAATCTGCTAGAAAATCACGATGTGTTTAAAAGTCAACTTTTGGTATTATCTGTTATTTTAGATTATTCATGCCAGTGTTCTCTCTCCATTAGTGCAGATAATTGAATTGACTGTTTTTTAATTGATTTCAGTCTGCATTCCTAGTAAGATATATTGATACTTACCAGTAAAAACTAAGGGCTCAGTATTTTGTATTCTTAGTAAGGTTTGAGCCATGCTGTCAGAACAGTGTACTGAGTTATATCTTTGAATTACAATGACACATAAAGAAACAAGAATTGTTTTAAAGTTAGCATAAAGTTTTTCTTAACTATAAGCTTGGTAATTTAGTCATAATAATTAAAGCTAGTCATTATCTCATGTATGAAATTAGTTGGTAAGTGTTGTCTAACCTCACTAATTTTATATATTTTCTTCTTTAGGTCACTGAAAAGATTCCCACAGAAAAAACCTCGGTTCCGTTCCCAAATGAAACATGTCCAGAAATAGAAAATTTTTTTCCCTTCAACCCACTAGGTAGTGTACATTCTTTATTATCTAACGTTTTTTATGAGTATATTTGGCCTCTCTCAGGCGTTTCAGTTTAACTGTGTCACCTCCTAGATGTAGATATGACCCAAGGCTTGTCATATTTTAAGGTCTTTTATTTATTTATTCAACAAATGTAATTGGTACCTATTATGTATAAGGCATGGTTGCTGGCTATATGTAACTATACCTTCTTCTCCTCTGCTCCCCAGGACATTCCCAATTTAATCTAGTAAGGAAGACAAAGCAGTATGTGACAACTCAGTACCTGTTTTTATGTTTTAGTTTAAGTCCCTGAGAATAACACAAAACCAAAGTAAAACAGGAGTTCAAAAGAGGGAAAGATTTCAGCTCACTCACAAGAATGTTTTTGGGGCATTCTAATAAATATATGTCCTTCCAGGAGATAATTTGGAGGGAGCATGCCACTTCTGGCTCACTGGTAGATCAAGAAATCCATTGAGTCTTCCTAAGAGAATGTCTCTGGATCTGTGTATGCATCAGACTAAGGATGCTGGAGGAGAGTGTGATCTTTTTGAGAAGGTTCTTTGAATTCTTGGGATGGAAGAAGTCTAAAATCACTTTGTTCAACTTAGCAGATATTTGATTAAGGTCTTGTTGTGTGCAAGACAATATACTTTAAATGATAGACTTAATTTTCTTTTTATTTGTAACAATTTCTTCTTAAGTAAGGTCTTACACATTTAGCTTTTAAGAAGGGAGTTGGAATAGCTTTTGAATTAATAGATGGGCTTATCTTTATAAACAGAATTTGAGAGTTTTGACATTCCTGAAGAACACCAACTGGCAAACCTGTCGCTGACTGGTGTCCCTCTCCTGATGCTTGAGCAGGAGAAGTCACTTGAAAGGCTTGTAGAACTTCCACCCTCACCAGTGCTGATGCCTTCCATGACATGGGAGTCTGGTAAGTTAGGAGATTTGATTTCCTACCACCCCCACCCCCACACACATTTTTCCCTTCTTTTTCACCACTTAGGGATAGTTAGAGATTAGATGTTCCTGTTTTAGGGCACTTCCTGTTGCCTGCATCTGGGGGAGAAAGCTGTATGTTACAAGTCACATCTTTAGGAAATGATGTAGTCTGACAAAAACAAACAACTATTGTCATCAGTAGGGAATGACTTTACATTTCCTAAAGTACAAGCTGCTAGATTAAAAAAGTTAAGCCATTTTGGCAACTCTGAATTCAAGCTTAAAATCACAAGTGGTGATTTTAGGTAAAATCAAATGAGAAAGCAACCACTGATCCTAATTTTTTTTCTTGGATGTCAACAATTCATGGGACAAATTCTAAGGGTGCTTGGCTGGGATGAGAGAATTTTCAAGTTTATTTGAAAAGCTCATAGAAGAAGAGGCCTCTCTTGGCAGTAGCAAAGAATGACATGCAAAGTGGTGATCTTCCCTTACTTTAGAAAACTGAAGACATCTCAATGGCTCAAAGCTATTTTCTAGCTGTATTTTCAGGTGCCTGCTGTTATTATCCTGTTCCAATTCTTTCTCGTGGGGACAAGGGGTCAAGAGCCTAGAGTTTGGAGTTCCACTTTTTCTACTTTCTTAGCAGCTGAGTGACCTTGGGCAAGTCACTTAAATATCTCATTTTCCTTGTTTTGTAAAATGAGAGGGTTGAACTTCAAGGTCATCTAAGGTTCCTTCACTCCCATAGCCTGATTGTTGATTTTACTGGTTGGGCACGGGCTGTGACAGGCTCTACCAAACAGGTTTTGGTAAGGTTAGTGCCACATTGACTGAGGACTGGCCTGCAGAGAGGATTATTACCTGAAGGCTGGTTGCCAGGTGCCGAATCAAATTATGAATGAACAAACAAAGTCTTGCTATAGCAACGCATGAAGATTGTCTTCCTAAGGTATGGCAAAGCTCATCAGTGGAGCCCTGGTGGAGGTCAGAAACTTTGAAATATTTTTCACTGCAATTTTAATATTGCTGATCAGGATAAACCTATCTACTTGGTAGGACAAAGGAGAATACAGTTCAACTTTAGGAGCAGGATAGTATAGGTGCTTCAGGAGGACTTTAAGACTGACAGGCTAGAAGCAGACTCCACAGTGATCTGGATCAGAAAGTCTGAGGTCATAGCTTGACATTCAGGTCAGGATTGAGATTCAGAATCCTTACTTAGTGTCGTAGCAGGGCTGTGATTTGTGAAGCCTTGGCAGAGATGTACAAGATTCCTTAACTGTAATCTTTGTCTTTTAGATCTGTTGGAATCAACTTTGAGCCTTCTGTCAACTGTGGATGAGATTGACTTGCCACCTGTGTGTTATGACTTCCCTATTTAAATGTCTTGTTATTTTATGGTGTAATTATATATAATTTTTGTATTAATAAAGCAATTCTTTATGTAGTAACTGTATTTGGGGCTATGTTATTCAGGCAGTTTCATCATCTATCTTTTTTGTTGAATAGTTTATAAAACTAATTAGAATCATAAACTGAATATCTCTTCTAACTCTAACCTAATAAAAGCTCCATCCTCCTCCTCCTCCCCTCCCCTCGAATGAACACACTTTTAGAGATGAGGAAACTGAGGCTCATCTGTGAGACTGTCACTTGGCAAATAGTGACAAAATGAAACTTAATCCTAGGTCTGACTGAGAATTAGGAGCTTTTTTTTATTACACTATGCTTCCTTACTGATTAATTTATAGAGACATCTTCCTCTATCAGAGAGAGCTTAATTTGTTGAGTTAGGCCAGGGGCTACTGGGATTGAAGATGGGGCAATATGAAGATTTAAAATTACTGCCCAAGCCCGGTTTGGAAGTGGACATATCTTATCTTAGAAGAGTAGCATTCTTTCTCTGTGTCCTCTTGTATCTCTCATGGATGACGTTGCTTGTTTTTCTTTAGTTAGCTGAGTAATAGCTATGAGAAAGATGCTCAGGCTAGTGATAGCTCTTACTTAAAGAAGGGCTATTGTCTAAATTGGCTACTTCTTACAAAGAAAATGTATACCTACTTTCATTAATTTTACTTAAGTTTGTCTAGGGATTTTGTACTCACACAATGTCAGGGGACTTTTGCCTGCAATCTGCAAATCTATAAAAATCTTGGTCTATATTCCTGTTAGTGTTAGAGATACTATGTGTAATTCATTACAGGAAGTATGTGCTTCTTAGATGCATTCTCTACTGTGGGAATTGTGGGAATTGATTGAACCACACTGACTTAATCTTGTGACTCAATTCTGGATCTAGCTCAGTTCCTTTTCTATTCAATTATAGGTCTAGTCCAGTTTCTGTTTTCTGAAAAAAAACCCTTTAATTACGGGAGTTATGAGAAAACAATATTGCATTGTTTGAACCTAGCCCTGCATGACTGGGAAGCTGGACCACCTCTACCTGTTACTTTGTTGTCCATGAGGTTTTCTTGGCAAAGATACTGGAGTGGTTTGCCATTTCTTTCTTTAGTATGTCCCCATTTTACAGATGGGGGAACTGAAGCAAATAGGGGTTAAGTGACTTGCCCAGGGTCACACAGCTAGTAAGTATCAGGCCAGATTTGATCTCAGGCCTAGTGCTCTATCCACTGTACTACCAAGCTGCCCACCTGTTGCTTAGATGCCCTTAACTAAGGATCTAGGTTATGCTGAGCAGAAATCTAGTCAGATTTGAAGATTGATGAAAGGAGTTTTCTCACGATTATACATCTCAAGGAACCCATATGTCTTATCTGAAAACTGGCCCCTTACTGGTCAATCAGTTGACTGTTCCCTTGTTTCTCTGATGGAATACTGACACTTGGGGGTGAGGAGAGGGGGTCCCCCCTTTTCTAATTTCAGTGAATTGCCCGTTTGCTCTCCCCCTCCAAACTTGGAAAGCCCCTAATCTTGTATTCTGGTTTATATTCTGTTAATTGTTATCTTTTAATGCATAAAAATCTGTCTCCCCTTGTATTTAGGTTCCAGTGCCAAGATAAAGAGGCCTGGTCTCGATTCGTTATGCAGTTGGCATGCATTGCTCAATGAATAAATATGCTCGGAAGCTAAAACCTTTGTTTCCTCAGTACAGATTTTACCCATCACGCAACTTATGGGGAAGCTGTGCATATTAGAAATTTTCCCTCTAAGAAAAATAGTATCCATGGGGCTGTAGAGAAGAGGTTTAGGAATATGCAGAAAACCTTTTTACAATGCTAGCCTGTAGTGCTGATGGAGTAGGAAGTTAAAGAAAAATTACTACAAAGTGTGTTGGCCCTTGGCCAATCTATTTGTTAATACCTTACAGCCGTAGATGGTGATTGCTCTAGTTCACAGTGATTTGGAATTTTCCACTGTCCATCAGGAGTAGATAAATCAGCTCACTTTGTAATCCTTGAGGATTCTAAAAGGAGCCCTTGGAAGTGGGAAGGAATCCTGAAATATGGTGTCTCAAAAGTCATAAAGCAATTTGAAGCTATTAAATACTCAGACTTTTGGGATACCTTATATATGTTGGGATAACTGTTGGGAAGCTGAAATTAAATAAGAAGCTAAGAAGCATTTCTTACCCCTTTCCTACCTCTCCCCTACCCCTAAGTGGCTTTGGAATAAAGTGAGTCTCATAAGCCATAGGATTATTAGTGTTTCCTCAAAGCAAGAACATTTTCCATAGTTCTCATTCCTTAAAATAGCCTAACATATTTGAGGGAGATTTTTTTTTTTGTTTTTTTGTGAGTAGCACCACAACTTTATGAAGCATTATGAGCCATTAATCTCTCAAATGTCTAGCTATTCCAATGTGTTCGTCAGAAACTGATATACCTGAGCTGTTTCAGTCAAGGGTTATTAGCAGAACAAAATTAAATCATTTTATCTATACTGGGGAGTGGGTAGGAACTATCAGTTTCTCTTTTTTTGTGAGGCAATCGGGGTTAAGTGACTTGTTCTGGGTCACACAGCTAGTAAGTGTCAAGTGTCTGAGATTGGATTTGAACTCAGGTCCTCCTGACTTCAGGACCAGACCTCTAGCCACTGTGCCACCTAGCTGCCCCTCTCTTGTTTTTGAGACTGGAGTAGTTCTGATTTCTTTTTACTGTTGCTAGTGTGAGAGATGATCTCTGAGGATCTCTCAGGAGTGAAGCCTCCTCAAAGAGTTAATCGTTTCTTATTCCGTTGAAACATTTGCAACCAGTTGACCTTGTAAAGAAACATGCTTTTCAACACATCCTGTACTTTACCAGACCCCCCCCCCCCCCAAACTGCTTACTCTTGCAAAAACTTCCCGCCTTTCCTTGTCTCCAGGCAAGTTTGTGAAACTGTCTTTGTTCTCTGTTGCTGGGGTAGACTTTCTGATAATAGATTGTGCCCTCAAGGCTTGCACTAATGAGCTGAGAGGAAGGGGGTTAGGGAGGAGGAGTTGCGGTTAGGGATCTATATAATCTTTCTTTGCTAAGCACACCCTTGCACTCTTCCACCAGAGCCATTTTAGGCGGACATGGGGTGCCCTTTCTCGAGAAAGCTAATAAAGAAATCTTTCTCTTTGCTACATCTGAGTCTCCAGAATTTATTGGTAAGGGTCTTCACGTCCCACACACTAGTCAAATCATATTGTATTATCAGACTTTTTAAAAACAGTTTTCTATTAACATCAATCATTTTTATCTTGACTTAGGGAAATTATTACACTTTACATGTGCAAAGAAAGTGTGATTTCATCAGCATGGAAACCTTCCACCAACAAGGATCTGCATTGCAAACCATCTATCATTTATTCTGGCTTGGAGAGGTTAGGGGACCGCCAGGTTTACAGAGAGGATTTGAGTTTAGGTCATCCTAATTCCAAGTCCAGCCCAAACTACTGCCCCAAGCTTCCTCTGTCTATCTCCCTTTCTACAGTTTATATGCAATTCAGATCTTAATTCATCACATACCTATTGAGCCTCCACTAGGACAAGGTGCTATGCTCAGTACTGGAGATAGAAAGTGAAAAAGAGATGGCTTCTGTCCTCAAGGACCTTATATTTTACTGGGAGTGGGGCAGGTAAGTCTAGGTTAGGGCCAGAAGACACAAAGGAGAGATCAGACAGAACTCTCTGCAGGGAGAAACCTGTTAGCTATAGGGGTAAGTAATATTTATTGAGTGAATGTTAAGTTTGGCTTTATCCTTGGGACAATAACTTGAGTCATAGACCCTGCTGGATGTATTCTAGTCTGTTCTTCATGTTCCTGTGCTGAAGGACTGACCTATATAAATCAGTAACTGGGTTTCTTAAGTATAATACTCAAATAATGCAAATGTCTTTACTAGATCTTAAGGGCCATTTTCATTAGTCTCATAGCTCAAAGCTTGACTTTATCTATCACTATTTGAGTCTGTTTAGGCCTAAACTTTAAGGAAAGAACACAGCCTTTGTGACTGGTATGTAACATTACCCAGTTCATATATGAGATATAACGAAAATGTTTGTTCCCATAAATTTGGAGCAAACAGCTAGAGAAGTAACTAAGTAAAACAGGATAGGTCTCATGTTTTGCTGATAGAAGTTAATCAGAACAAAAGATTCCATAAAATTGAAACAACTGCTAAAAGTAACTAGGTAAAATAAGATAAAGCTGGTCTTTACTTATTTTGCTGATAGAAGTTAGTAAGTAGGACAAAAGTTAAGCTTTGCTTAGAGTGTGCATGCTTAATAGGCTTATAAATATTAGCTTCTCCACCTCCAGGAGGGGCTAAGATACCATTTTCTGAACATGGGATGTATGAAGGAGGAGTAACATGTCAAGGAGTAGATGTGTAATAGGTGTACTGGAAAGTTGTACACTCTGGAGTACTCAGCCAACGAGGAAACAATATGGCCGGGATTAGAGATAAATAGTGAATTCCTGCTTTGGTACAATGTGTCCTAGTCCATAGGACACCCGTGGTTGCAACTGCATAATAAATTGGGCTTTTAACTTCATCCCTCCTGAGTCTAAATGAGTTATTTCCCACAGTATATATACTTGATCAAATTTGCACAGGGCTGTATGGTGAGTAGACAGTCAGCCAAGACTTCTGGCTTGACTTTGTTCTCACTGTGCATTCTAGAAATTTTGGGTTCATAGCATCTAGAGCTGGAAGGGACCTTTGAAACCATCTGAATCAAGCCCTTAATTAAAATTTTTTTTTCAATAAATAAACATTTATTTTCATTCCCTCTCCCTCTTCCCCCATTAAAAAAATAAAACCCAGAAACAAATATGTATAAGTCAAGCAAAATAAAATTCCTTTATTGTCCATGTCCAAACATGTATGTCTTATTCTCTCATTCTTTGTTTTGAGTCCATCAACACTGTCAGAAGGTAAGTAGCATGGTTCATAACGGGTCCTCTGAAATTATAGTCATTGCTTTGATCAAACTTCTTAAGTCTTTCATAGTTGTTTGCTTTTATAAT